GTTGCCTCATAATGCACATGCAGAAATCTTTGGACTGCAAAAGTTGTAGAGGCAAATCAGTAGTCCAGAACAAATGAAGGATCAGGGGAAGTCTTCTTTTTTTCTCTTCTCATGTCAAATACATTTTACACACAACATACACACAACAAGAAAACTAAATCAAAAAGCAGCAAACGCATACTCAAATCCTAAATTTCACATGACACAAAACTACATACAAAATACACAACAAAAATACAATCAAAGCAAAAAAACAAAAAAAACAATTAGACAAACACTTAAACACAAAAACAATAAAAAAAAACCAGAAAACTCAACACTCAAAAACGAAACTTCACATGACACACTACTGAAATACCGATTAAAAGTGACCACAAGAAAGAAAAAGAGTGAATGTGAGCTGGCAAGAGAAGATTGGGTAGAAGAAGATAGGTTTGATGAGCTGGCAAGGTTGTTGTGAATAAGAAGATAGATTAGTTTGTTTTTGACAGTTTATGTCGTTAGATTTGTTAATAGTTTGTTTTGTGTAAAACCCTTTTGTATAATGAGGGTTAGATAAGAGAATATGTATCCATTCGTTTGGCTTTAGCTTGCAACATTTGTAATAGTTTCGTTGGTTAATAAAGGTTTTTTTTCATTTTACAACAAAACTCTATCAAATTGGCAACAAAAAAAACCCACCAATTTCAATCACCTGAAACAAGGATTTTCATGGATGTATCAAAAAACTATCAAGTATCAACGTATAATGTTGTCAATTACAATTCATAGCGATTTATGCAATATTTCTAATGCTATATATTGGCCCACTTTTATATCATTTGTTGGTTTTTTTTTTACTAACATCCATTTGTAGTTTCTTATATTTTATATGCAATCTTGTATGCAATCTTGTCGCAAATGTCAATTATATATATGAAATTAGTAGAGTTCCGATTCCCTTTAATACAAATCCATGTCCTAGTCCTACAACTCTAAAAGACATCATATTACTAACAGAGTGAA